GAAACTCATACTGAGGAGAACCTGTTTCCATGTATGGAATGTGGAAAGTTGTTCTATACACAATCACAATTTCTCATTCATCAGAGAACTCATACTGGAGAGAAACCATTTGCATGCTCTGAATGTGGGAAATGCTTTGCAATTAGTTCACATCTTCTTTCACATAAGAGAATTCATACTGGAGAAAGACCATTTCTATGTTTGTTTTGTAGAAAATGCTTTATAACAAAGTCAGACCTTGTTAAACATCAGAGAATTCATACAGGAGAGAAGCCTTTTGCATGTTCTGAATGTGGGAAACGTTTTGCAAATAGCTCAAATCTAATAACACATCAAAATATTCACACAAGAGAAAGACCATTTGTATGTTCTGTATGCAAACAAAGTTTTCTCCGTAACACTGAACTTGTGAAACATCAGACAATTCACACGGGAGTTGGAGCATTCTCTTGTACAGAGTGCGGAAAAGATTTCTCTTGCAGATCAAGGCTTGTGACGCATCAGCGGAGTCATACTGGAGAGAAACCATTTTCATGTTCTGAGTGTGGAAAGTGTTTTGCAATAAGTGCCCATCTTCTTGCCCATGAGAGAATTCACACTGGTGAAAAACCTTTTGGCTGTTCAGAATGTGGAAGATGGTTTACCAGCAAGTCGGATCTTGTTAAACATCAGAGAATTCACACAGGAGAGAAGCCGTTTCAGTGTACAGAATGTGGAAAATGTTTTAGAAGTAATTCTTATCTTGTTACTCATCAAAAGGTTCACACAGGAGAGAAACCATTTTCTTGTGCACAGTGTGGGAAATGTTTTAGTGCTAATTTTCCTCTGATCATACACCAGCGAATTCACACAGGGGAGAAGCCATTCTCATGTTCAGTATGTGGGAAGTCCTTTAGCAGCAATGGAAATCTTGCTAAGCATCAGAGAATACATGCTGAAATAAAACCATTTGTATGTTCTGAATGTGGAAAATGTTTTGCGATTAAGTCATATCTTGTTACTCACCAGAGGATTCACACAGGCGAGAAACCGTTTTTATGTGCTTATTGTGGTAAATGTTTTGCCAATAGCTCAAATTTTGTAATGCATCAAAGGATTCATTCAAAACAAAACAAGTAATTACTGCATTGTAGTAAGTGTACTTTACTGGTTTAGGTGCATGTGTTTGCGTAAATTTTAAGTTCCCAAAGACTATAATAACAAAATCAGGACTGATGATTGTTTTGTATATAAGCTCTGGTATAGCTCCCAAAATCATTTTATTTTTTTTATTTTTTTTTCTTCTGGCTTTTTGGCTTTGAAATAAAAGTAATGGAGCTGTGTATATTTGCAATACAAACATTTATAGAAGTTATAATAAATTGCATTAGTAAATTTTAAGTCTTGTTCTATAAAAATAGATTTGACAAACTTTCAGAGTGTGTGTATGTAAAAAAAAAAAACAATCAAGTTTTGTGGCGTTTGATTTATTTTGTGTGCAAGGGTATAGTGCTCAAATAAGGGTTCAGAGAAATGGTAATGAAAGTGTGTTTAAAACAAAATAAATTAAATGTTACTGTGTGAGTCTTTGAAATATCAGTTGTATAAAGTAACACCTTTTACCTGTCCACTTTAACCCCTTAAGGACCAAACTTCTGGAATAAAAGGGAATTATGACATGTCACACATGTCATGTGTCCTTAGGGGGTTAAAGGGGTCTTTTTACTAAATTGTTTGCTAAAGCAAATTTGACTGCATCCATTAAACTCAATATACTAGAATTTATTTGGTAAAATTGATTCCAGGATCACTCTTTAACAACTGAATGTTTCCTATACTAAGGAAACGCTCCTGTATGCTGTGCAACAAGTGTTACCACATTTATTGAAGAACAAACTTCTTGCCTGAAACATTTGCTAAATATCTTTGTTCTTCAATAAATGTGGTAGCACTTGGTGCACAGCATATTGGAGCGCTTCATTCCTTTTTTTTTTTTCTTTTTTCTGATTTTGTGTACCCACTGAGGAGCCACAGTGTGTTGTTCAACATGTTTGTTGGCACCTAGGAAACGTCAGCCTTGTCTCTTGTATATGTGATCACATCTATATTAAGGTAGCATTCACTGCTATTTTAAAAATGTTTTATTTGTGTTATGGATCATCTGAAAGTTGCTGAACCTAAAGTCACTGCTAATTGAAAAATAAAATAAGCAAGGGTGGTTGCTATCTTTAAAGTGATCTAGGTTCAACCAATTGAGGGGAATTTGACAATCTGTAAAAAAGTTAGTGTCTGCTGATTTCAAAGGGCAACTGACATACAGGCAAATTCAGTATCATTAAAGGGACTCTATAATCACCAAAACAACTACAGCTTAATGTAGTTGTCTTGGTGAGTATAATAGCTCCATTCAGGCATTTTCATGTAAACACTGCCTTTTCAGACAAAAGGCAGTGTTTACATTGCCCCTAGGCGTACCTCCAAGTGGCCACTCCTTAGATGGCCACTGGAGGGGCTTCCTGGCTCAGGGTTGCACAGTAAGTAGCCCTGCTGTTCAGCGTCCCCACGCTCTGTATGGAGACACTGAATTTTCCTTGTAGAGATGCATTGATTCGGGGGGAGGGAGACAATCCACCTATATGGTGGGTTAAACACTATAGGATCAGGAATACATGTTTGTGTTCCTGACCCTATAGCGATCCTTTTAGAAAACTTGGCTTTAATGGGAAACTAGTTTAATTTCCTGGAACTATAGCTTCCACCTCCGGCAAGGTGGAGAAGGAGTTAAAAATTCTTACTTACTTGGGTCCAGCGCTGATTTCCCTCTTCTCTCGGCTACCTAATGTGTATGCGCGGCAATAGTTGCGATTGCATTAGGATTGCCCCATAGCAAAGCATTATTCTGTGCTGAAGCGGTCTGAGTGCCTAAAGTGTCCCTTTAATGAATAGCATGAGTGTGTTACATTTGGTTAAAACAGCTGAATTAAGACCAGGGAATGGCATTTGATTGCAGTTTAATAAATATAATCTTAAAGGGGGACCATCACAAATATAAACCATGAAAACCACCTGTAACTTGTGTAAATTTTAATGAGATTTGTTTTCTTCTAATTGCATATTAAAATAATCATAACTGCTACAGCTGCAGTGGTTCTGGTGTCAGAACTGTCCAAGTTGCCCTGATTTGTAAGTGATCAAACCAAACGGTTTGATTTTAATACTAGGAGTCGGTCAGACACTGCTTCCACTAATGTCAAAAAGCTGTAAGTGTGGGGCAGATCTTCGCTCACTGAATAAGGGTGATCACCTAATACATTCAGCCGCTAAAAATAGAAAATAAGATGGAATGCTGGCAGCGGTCGGGGAAATAAAATGGCTGCCATTCCTCAGTTGGTGTTAGGTGAAAAGAAAGTACTAAACCAGGGGGAATGCAGTTCATTCAGTCAAAGTATTGAAGTTAGCCTAAGAGAGTTCTTCACAACGCTCCCCCTCAGTTCCATGGGTCCGCTAAAGGATGTCCAGTTACCAAAAAGGCTAACTTTCCAACTCCGTTTGTCGGGATAACACATCTGCATTGCCATTCTGCTTGCCCGGCCGGTATTGCATTGTAAAATTGTAGGGCTGAAGGGCCAGGCTCCAGCATAGCAGACGGGGGTTATCTCCGGCTACCCTGTTCAGCCAAATGAGAGGATTGTGGTCTGTCATGAGGGTGAAGGTACGTCTATACAGATAGGGCTGTAACTTCAATGCCCATACGAGAGCCAGGTATTTTCTCCACGGTGGCAAAGCTGACTTCTTGGGGGAACATTTTTCAGCTGAGGTATGTCACTGGGGTCTCAACCCCAACATGGAGACATCTGTGTGAATGAGCAACATTTTAGTATGATCGGGTGCAGCCAACACAGGTACCTTCTTGCTCAGAGCTATTTTCAGCCTTTGGAAGGCACCCTCGCACTCCAAAGACCACATAACTTGCTTGGGCAGTGAGGTCTGTAATGGGTTTAGGAAGGGTGCTATACTCTAGGATGAATCTACGGTAATAGCCTGCTGTCCCTAGGAAAGGGGGTATTGGAGCTGGGTTGGGGCCAGTAAACCACAGCCTCTATTTTTGCTGCTTATGGACACTGCTTGCCCGAACCTACTCTGTGACCGAGGTACTGTACCTGCCATACCGACATTGCACTTGTCCAGTCTCAGGGTAAGCCCTGGCGAACTAATGATCTCGATCACCATAGAAATGTGTGCGAGATGAGCTTCCGATGTGCTGCTGTCGATTGCAATGTCGTCTAAATACGCACAACCAAGTCCTGAAATCCCTCCAAAAGCCGGACGGCCATTCGCTGGATTAGCCGGGACATTCTTCAACCTTAAATTGTTATAAACCGAACAGGGTGACGAATGCTGATTTAGGAATGTTCTCTGGCTCAAGGAGGATCTGCCAATATCCCTTACACAAGTCTATGGTGGTAAAGTAATTCCCCCTCGGCCATGCGGTCTAACAACTCATCTGTCCTTGATATAGGATAGGTGTCTGTAACTGTCCGCTCATTGAGCTTGCAGTAGTTTATACAGAAGAGGGTCATACTCTCCCGCTTAGGTACCAGGACTACCAGGGAAGCGCAAGGACTCTGAGAGGGCTCTATAACTCCTAACTTGAGCATCTTGTGAATTTCTAGAAACGTTCTCCTGAACTGTCTCACGGATGCGTTAGGGGTGGAAAGCTATGGTAGTGTAACCCGGGGTGACGCAGAACATTTTGCTGTATTCCTGCAGCAGATGGGAGGCCTTTTCCTACTCTTCCATGCTAAGGTCTTCCCCCTAAGCTAACTTGGTCCACACTTCCCAGGGTAGGGGTGAGCAGATCTGGTAAGGGAAGATTTCCACTGTATTCCAAGGAGGAGGCACATACTGCCACCACGTCCTCTTGTCTTTCTAGGTACGGCTTCAGCATGTTCACATGAAAGACTTTTCGGATCCTAATGTGCTCCACTACCCAAAACTGTCACTGCCAGGTGCCCTGAAGTTTGTCCTTTTTAGTGGGCCTAAGGGTTAATACTTTCTGTCCTACTTCTAAAATGTTGTCGCTGGCCCCTCCATCATGCCACAGTTGCTGGAGCTGCTTGGCCACCCACAGATTCTCCCGAATGGATTCTGTGAGTGCCTGCAGAAGCTCCGGAACATAGGGCACAATGTGGGTACTATTATCCCCTGTTTCTCCTGCCCAGTGTTCCCATATGAGATCCAGGGGTCCCTGTACTTTTCTCCTGTATAGGAGTTCAAAGAGGGAAAAACCCCAGGTTAAACAGGTTGTGGTGGTAGGGGACTCTATCATTAGGAGAGTAGATTGGCTCAACTGGACAATTTGCTGTCTCCTGGGTGCTCTGGTCCGGCATGTTGCTGACAGAGTGGATGGATTATTGGGAGGGGCTGGGGATGACCGAGCGGTCATGGTCCATGTTGGTACCAATGACAAAGTAAGAGGAAGATGGAAGATCCTAAAGAATGATTTCAGGGAACTAGGTAGCAAACTTAAGAGAAGGACCTCCAGATATTACCTGTGCCATGCGCTACAGTGGAAAGGCAGCGGGAGATTAGAGAGGTCAATGTGTGGAAGGAGGGTTTGGGGTTTTTAGAGCACTAGGCCGACTTTGCGCTTGGGTACAACCTTTATAGTAGTGATGGCTTGCACCTAAACGGGAGAGGGTCTTCAGTGCTGGGGGATAGGATAGGCTAGAAGGTTGGAGGAGATTTTAAACTAGTAGTTGGGGAGCATCCTAGCAATCTACGAAATGGAGATCGGACAGAAAGGAGATGGGCTTCAGCTCAGTATGAGGGGTGTGGAGACTGGAGAGGGGCAAGCTCAGAACAGAGAAGGTATGTAATGTTGATAATTCACAAAAAATACAAGTGACTCATGATATTAATGTATGCTTACTAATGCAAGAAGCCTAAATATCAAAATGGGGGAACTAGCATACACTAAACAATATTATATAATAGGCATAACTGAAACATGGTGGGATGAGACACATGACTGGGCAGTTATCTTAAATGGGTACATGTTATTTAGGAAGGATAGAAAAAACAAGAAGAGTGGTGGGGTATGTTTGTATGTCAACCATAAGTTAAAGCCAAATCTTAAGCAAGTGGAATGTGATGAGGAAAATGTGGAAGCTTTATGGGTAAATATCTGCTTGGGGAAAAGAAGGGAAATCAACTATTGGTTGGGATATGTTGTAAACCACCTAATGTTAATATTGACGAGGAATAACAACTGTTTGAGCAAACTGAGAAAGCTCCAAATCTCGATAACACTTTAATTATTGGAGATTTTAATTACCCGGAAATAAATTGAGACCGAAGGACTAGTAGCTCAGAAAAGGGAATTAGGTTTT